AACATAAGTAACAGGCAAATTATTATTTATAGTATGGGTTTTAATATGAACGTATGTTTGTAACGAAGATAGACACTGAACTCATTTTCAAGTCCATCTCAAAAAGCTACAATAAATAAAGTTTTTTCACGATTACAACGTTGGAAGTAAACTTTTACAAACACATTTTTTCTATTACTTTTTCCTTCCATTACTTTTTTCTTAGAAACTAATTATACCTGCATATTTTAATTAAATATAATGAACTCCATATTGTTAACAGAATGTTTCAGTACAATAAACGTCACGATTTTTCAAATACTTTGCAAAATAACTGAATAACGTCAAATAACGTTTTAATCGTATCTTATTGACGTTACAGACATTGTAAAGACATTTGTCACCCTGCTGCCTGGGTTGTATTAATCCTTTCTGATTAGTAGCAATGTACACTACATTTCAAAATACTTTGTATACTTATCTCTGGATGCAGTTCTGAATGCAGTGGATGATTCAGAGTCATAATTTATTTCTCTACTTACAAAAAAAATTAATTCTCTTATTGGTCCGCCAACCATGCCTTTTTTTTATAATTTTTTTTTTAAATATGTGAGAGAAAATCCTGTTGGATCCCCTTCTCTCATCCGTTGGCGTCTGCACCTCTAGCCTTTCATGTTGCGCCCCGAAAGAACTGTGGACGTTCCCGGGTCAGCTATGTTCTGAACTGCACCCAAGGAGTAGTGTCTATATAGTTTGTAATATAATAATTTCATTGTTACTAAAAGAATCATAAAATAAAAAATGAATGATGTATTGTATACAAAGTACGACATTTCAGCACAATGTTATATGATATTACATTTCTCATATAATCAGTGCAAAATTGAAGTAATCCATTCATGTCTCTCAAATAATCATTTTAGTTATGTGTAAAAAAATGTTTATTATAGAATCAATGTCCTTGAAACATGGTATTATTTTTTTGTTGTATTTTTTGTCATTTTGTACATATCTTGTATTGAAAAATCGTGGCAATTGAAAATACTAATTTCCAGTGCAGCATTCTTATTTTAAAAACTTGTTCGTTTAAGCAGAACATGTTCTGCAACTATCTTCCTTTTTTTTTAATATTATGCTTGTATGTCATATGCTTCTATATAATATTTTATGTAATATGCTTCTATATGTGCTATGTAATATGCTTCTGTTGCTTCCCCGTGCAATGCGCTTCAGCGAAAAATTATAAAATGTTAGTTTTATATGAGTGTGTAACTTGTGCGTATATACTTATAGACACTTGTGCGAGCGCGCGCGCACACAAACAAACATATACATATACGTATACGTATGTGCTTGTAATATTAAATATTGCATGAAATGCCTCAATAAAATATACATAAAGTACAATATACATAAATTATATCTTGTAATATTAAATGCTTCTGTACTAATGTCTTCCGA